GCCTTGCTGACTTTGTCTCAGTCTCTCTTCTCTCTCTCTCTCTCTCTCTCTCGCTCTCTCTCTCTCTCTCTATATATATATATCTCCTGTTTTGAAGTATTTGATATGATAAAGCCAGTTGAAGTATTTGAAGAAACTTTATCTATTGCATCACTTGGGTGTATCTGTGCATGTAGGTGGTTGAGTACTGTGAAGGGTCTGGTTGTCGTAGAAAAAAGATTCTTGGATTTTTTGGAGAACAGGTATCTCTAGTTTTTTTTCTTTGTAATTTACAAAGTGTTTTCCAGTATTTTCTCTTCAGTTCCTCATTGTGTCAGGTTCTAATGCTCTAGTTTAGGTGCATGGAGCTCTCTGTAACAAATCATGTGATGCATGCAAGCATCCAAACCTTCTTTCAAAGAAATTGGAGGAACTCACCCACATGTCCAGCACTCTCTCGAAGAATAGGCTGGCCCCTGTCTTCATCACTGGGTACTTTTGGTTTTCAATTACTTTGGTTTGTCAGTTTTTTGAGTGTTCATTGTTTTCCATTATTTTGGGTTATCTTATTTATTCATCTATAGCTTGCTAGTTACAGCAAATAGGTGGATTTAAGCCTTAAAGTAGCATTTGTATGAACAATCTCTATGTAATAGGATTCTTTTGTGGTTTAGATTGTTAGACGTAATTTTTGATGTACTTACGTCCCTGGTGCAAATAAGGAGAGAGCCAGTGACGATCTGGTCTTGCTAGTACCCAAGACATCGACAGACCAAGGGAATACTGCAAAATAAGCCCTAAACTAGGCAACCTTGAAAATAGTATTATCATGCCAAAAAGAGACCTTATAACTACAGCCCTATGCTAGGGGCTTCGAAACAAAACCAGACTACTACCATTGCATCCAGAACGCTGAAAAACCCCCAAGAACCAAATTTGGGCTCAATCGGACCTCCCAAGAGCATTCTGGTCCCAAATTACCACAAACGGGTAGGTTTACACTATTGTGGTGTAGCCTCACCGAATCAGTCCCCAATCATGGAGGCTGCGCTCGTCACATCTCGGGATAATCTACAAACGCCCACACGTCGCTCGTTTCGAGTCGGATCAAGCTCAGATTTGATCACAAGCTAGGTCTCGACGACCCGGTCATTTTGACATATGGCACGCGTCATGATGTGACCCAAAACCAAATCTTTTCTAGAGAGAAGATGAGCCCAAAACTATAGAAATCAGAGTTTTTGAAGAAAAGACATCTCGAACTTCATGAAGTAATAACTCGAGATCCGTATATCAGATCATCGCACAGCCAGGTCCGATGAGACTGTATCACGAAGGGCTACAAGCTGATATAACTTTTACACTCAATCTAAGGTTGGATAATTCGTAATTTCCAAGGTTCAAGAAAGCAACATCGCCCGGTCGCTGGAATCCTTTTTCTGGTGATCTTTCAAATTCAAAAAGAACTTCAAGCAAGAACCAAAACAGACAAAATTGGTGCAAACGACTGTGGTAGTCTCTTATTTAATTTGCAATCACAGTAAAGACTCAGAACACCATGGACCATGGATCGCATTGCATTGACGGCTCAAGTTCACGATCTAGCCGGATTTCTACCTCTGGGGAAAAAGTCCATTTCAAGACGATCAAAAGACATCAGACTCTTCAAAATCAAGCAAGCATCAGGACCAAGGTTTGAAAACTCTTCGAGTCGAACCGGGCGAGTCCAGTTCGACTCGGGAATCATCTGCTACCGAGCCGGTTCCACGAAAAAATTGGGAATCGCCGTGTCCAGAGTGAACCAGGCGATTCAGGCGATTCCCAATAGTGAATAGTGAATCGTGAGTCTCACATATTTGGCCCCCTTGCTTTTTTACACACGCAATGCAATATCTATTACATAGGAATTTATAGATAACAAAGCGAGGCTCATCCTTCGATGTGGGATAATTCCCACAAAAAATCATTAAAGCAAGACGATTGAATATATATTATTATAGAAGCTAATAAAATCACATTAGGCGATGTGGTGGTGTTGGTTGACAATTCCGATTTTTCGGTGCACGTCTAGAGTTCGAACCTTAGCATGCGTCTTCGTTTATTTTTGTTGTCAAAAAAATAAACAAAGGCAGAAACTACTATTGTAAAAAAATAGAAAAAATAAAAAATAAAAAATAAAAGGCTTTTCAAGATAAAGATAAAAAAGATAATACAACATTTTTTTATTTTTCTTGTAAAAAAATACAAGGTAATATAACAAGTATTTCTTGCAAAAAAATAAAAAAAAGGCATAAAAAAATAAAATGTACTTTGGCAACATAATTTGTTTATTTTTCTTGTAAAAAAAAATAAAAAGTAATACAACAAGCAAAAAAAAATGTAGTACAACATCTTCTTTTGTCAAAAAAAAAAAAAGAATAATCAACAAGTATCATATTTTTCTTGTAAAAAAAAATAAAAGATAACACAATAAGTATTTCTTGTCAAAAAAATAAAAGGTATTTCTTAATACATCCTAGGAATAAATGGTCTAATTATATTTTTTATTTTTATAACATGATGGTCTTTAACATAAATGTAGTAATATTAATTTAAAGATAGGATTCATACAATGGGGCCATTTGAAATCTCTCTCTTTTTACTTAACAATCTCTTCTACTAATTTATTCTAGAACCTAAAAAATTAAAGAAAAATTGGTTCGCATTCTAATAATTTACTACTATTGAT